CTGCAATTTTCTCCTACTGAAAGAACATTCTTCTTTTCACAGATACAAATGCTCTACTGCTATATCACAGTTGGACTTTTTAGAGAATTGTTAGAAACTTACATTTATCACCTAGTGGTCAAACAGCAAGGGCAATCTTTTTCTAGACAGTTGAGCTGGGCATAGGGACCTGAGACAGCTTCATTGCCATTCCAAAGCTTTAGACCAAGTACTAGTTTGTTAGAGAGTCAGTCCAACTGAAATCAGTGGGTCTCACTCCTCAGTAAGTATACATAAGATTATGCATAAAAAGACAGCCGAAATCATAAATTAAATGAGATCTGTCTACACTCCATGGGACTTCCAAGATGCATAATATGAGTGTAAACCAAATTCTTCAAAACTGTTCAAAGGGTATTGTTTCACACTGTTTATTTGCAACCATGAGGACTAGAAACTTACATATTAAAAAAATTAAGGATAGAAGTCTTCAGATTTTAGAGAGAGTACAAGCTATATCAATGAGACCCAAGACTGCAGACACAGGAACTCCTGAGCTCCCTGCGCCCAGTCCTTTTAAAAAACACATTTTTGTTGAGCAACAACTTTAGAGCAGAGGTGGGCTGGTGAAGAGAATATGGAGAGGAATGGAAAGACTTGTCACTTGTCCCCTTAGAAAAGAAACAAGATAAATGACCTTCAGCAGAATCTTCTAAAATATATATATGCAGCAGATTTAGAACTCAGCTGTGTCACATCAAGCTTACTGCTGGGAAGTGATCGTGTAAAGAATCCAAAAATAACAGTCATTAAAGACATAGCAACCAGAAACATGTTTACAGGCCCATTAAAATCTCAGTAGTTTCGCTTATCGAGCAGAGGTGATAGCAAGATTGCCTCAATCAGTTTGAGGCCATCACTCCCCTTAGCACAACAGTTTTCAGAAAATAGTACAATGGAAGGAAGTGTGTGCATGGATGTGTCTGCCAATGGCACACAGATACATTCATGTACACTTCAATAGATTGTGTTTCTGACTGGACACTTGATTTTTTTTTTTAATTGCCAGTTCGAAGAATGAAAACTTGGCACATTTTTTTTCTGGTGTACATTTTCAAACTCACATCAGTTGCTCCTTTTTCTTCTATTTTTGTTTTTAAAAAAACAGCAGTCAGCCTTTATTATGTGAGAGCAGAACATGGAGTCTCTTCTTCACAGGCTGATGTCAAATATGCAGCAGCATCCTGACAGACGTGATGAAACCGCTTCCATCTTTAAACAATTGTGTACACTCTTGAGCTCCACCCTTAATACTCTTCACTTTGGAAAACAACAAATGAGCTGGCAGCTAAACTGAAGAGGCCCTGCCTCTGAATCAGGGGACCTAATAATGGGGTCTCCAAAAATTGTGAAAACAAAATGAAACAAATAACAAACGAAGTCAGAAGTGGCTTCAGTGTGGAAGGGATTGTCACTCTCAAATTGGCCTTCTCAGCCATGGGGGGGGGGCTGCTAAATATGCAGAGAAGGATGAGATCCCCCCCCAAAGAACCACACCCCTTTTTTTTGACACCGGTTTATGGTATAGTCTGATGGAGCTGGGGGCCATGAAACAAGCTTTGGGCAGCCACATCTGGTCCCAGGGTTTCATTTTGATTACTCCTGCTTTAAATTTTAATCAGGTAAGCTCCATCTTTAAACACATGACTCTAAAGACTGCTCCATGAAATAGACACATTCCCAAGGCATTCCACATGCAAATGTTATGACATTTGAAAGAGAAAACCATGCTGGCAAATTACATGAAAGCTGTGTGATTGCTTGACAGTAAAATAAGAGGACTAAATATGAGATGGATTGACTATAAAGGAAGCCACAGTTTTCAGAGGTTGTTAATTGTTGTTGGCTGTAAGATTTTGTTAATTGTAATGTTAATTGTAAGATTTTCTTGAGTCATTCATTCATTTATTCATTCACTGGGTCACTATTAATTCTGAAGTGACTTGATGCCACATAATAACAAATATTGAGGACAAATGGTGGCGAGTGGCAATTGGTCACATCTTCCTGGCATGTGGACAACGGCATGTCCTTCACACAGATACAGGTTTTTGCCTACGTTTGACAGAGATACACATCCATTATAAAAACACATGCTGGAAAACATAGCTGTTATTTAAAGCAGCCCTGATTTCTATTATTATTGTTATCATTTTGGTAAATCTCTGCATCAGGGAGAAGAGTGTGAAATTGCAATTGTAGCTACTCATACCATGATGACTTCCAGAGGGGAAGCTATGAGAAAGATTCAGGGGAAAAAATCCTGCAAAGATTCTTGCAGCATTTTAATCCTCACAGATTTGTTAAAGCATCCGTATACAATGAAATAAACTCAGTCCCCAAAAGGCTTGTGTTGTACTAAAATATTCAGCTTTCAAGATGTCACAAAATTTCCAATTCCATTTGCAGTGGGCAGTTCATACATGTTGCTTAATGAGATGGATTCTCTTCCCGCTTTCCAAAATATCCAGAGGCTGGACAACTGTTAGCTGTGGATACTCTAGCTCTGGAATTTCTGCAGCAAGCAAGTGGTTCACCTTGCTTGGTGCAAAATTATCCCTTCCAACTCTAGGATTTTAAGATTGCTAAGTTTCTCAGTTTGGTTCAGATATTACATTATTTGATGTTGTGATTTGGGTGACCCTTCCAGGTACCAGAGTCAGAGTACATAGATTGCTGCTATCCGATAACTGTGCACTGCTTATCAGTTTCCATTCTGAAACCCATCTACAGGCCACCTACCATGTTATATGCGAAGCATATCTAAGGTGGCTGGCTGTCATATGACATATGCCCCAAACCCAGAGTGGATAAAAATAAATATTTTTTTTAAAAAATCAAATTGATTTAAATAACAACTTAATTTTTTTAAATTTAAAATTGTCCACTTCCACTCTGATTTTTTAAAAATTTAAATCATGATTTAAATCAAATCCACCAAAGTCACTGTATAAAAATACCAGTTAGCTTTGTTTGAATGACATTTTCCTGGTTTACTGCAAAGCATGAAACTCCTTACAGCAATTTTTGGGGTGCTTTATTTAATGCTTTCTACTGTTGAGAGGCACAATATACTACCAGATTTCACCATTAGTGTTTTTAGGATCTCAAAGTGCATAACATTTGAGGTATGCCTCTGTCCTGCAGGCTGTGTGCTTTTCTCCCATATATTAGCCCCCTTTAATGCTGGAAATAGAGACCTACTTTCTGTATCCTCCTTCCCTTAAAATCTTTGCCTAGCAATGCCTTACTGGCCAACCCTCCACTTCAAGTTGTGGACGCTGGCAGTGACATGCTTTTATTATGAGCTGCCGCATTAGTTTAGTTGTTTTGTTTTTTTAAAGAGGAAGGAAACTTGTTAAAAGCAAATAAAAAACAAAAATATAGGATACAGGCTAACTGTCAAACAATAACAGATTCCTGAGTTACTGTCAACATTTGCAAATGTGACCCTATGGGATGGAGTCATACAGATGAAAAATATACAACGTGAAGTTACAAAACCACTTCAAAGGCTGCCCACAGTGAATATAGATCACAGGAACCATACTCAATGGGTATTTATCAATGGCCCCTTCTCAAACTGGGAGGAGGTAACAAGTGCCTCAGGGCTCAGTCCTGTGCCTCGTGCTCTTCAATATTTTTTATTAATGACTTGGATGAGGGAGTGCAGGGATTACTTATCAAATCTGCAAATGACACAAAATTGGGTGGAACGGCTAATACCTTGAAAGGCAAGAATTCAAAAAGATCTTGATAGGCTGGAAAATGAAATTTAACAGGGATGGGCCTCATCTCAAGTACTATGTCCAATTCTGGACACTGCACTTTAAGAAGGATGGCAACAAACTGGAACAAGTCCAGAGGAGGGCAACAAGGATGATCAGGGGGCTGGAAACCAAGCCCTATGAGAAAAAGATGAAAGAATTCAACAGGTTTAGCCTTGAGAAAAGAAGACTGAGGAGAAATACTATAGCGCTTTTCAAATACAGTACTTGAAAGGCGGTCATATAGAGGAGGGGCAGGATCTGTTCTCAGTCATTCCAGAGTGCAGGGCACGTAATAATGGGTTCAAGTTACAGGATGCCAGATTTAGGCTGAATAACAGGAAAAAATTCTTAACTGTTAGAGCAATCTGACAATGGAATCAACAACTTTGGGAGTTAGTGAGCCCTCCAACACTGGAAGCACTCGAGAGAAAACTGGACAGTCACCTGTCAGATATAATTTGATTTGGATTCCTGTACTGAGCAGGGGGTTGGACTTGATGGCCTTCTAGGCCCCTTCCAGCTCAATCCTTCCATGATCTATCCACAAAAGTGCTTAAGTATACCACACATACTGCACTGGTGCAGTTCCTTCTCTCTACTATCAATTAAGGAAGTCACACACAGACTCATCTTTAATTGATTATGGCTTCTGAACAGGAAGTGTTCGTCTTTTCTATCCTTGCTGCTAGCTTTATTGTTTGTATGTGGTATTTGATTGTAAACTGCCTAAGAGCATATTGCTGTGCAGCAATACATAAATTCAATAAATAGGGGGAAATAAAACATTCCCAAATTGCCTTTCAGGAATATGCTAAACTAGCTAACAAATGTGATTGCTTCTCCTTGGTTAAAGAAACTTTAAAGAAAAAGGAAAACTCGCAATGTTGTCAGATAACACTAGTCAGAAATCGGTATAGAGCTTTTTTCTCTTCTGAATTCCATGGCTATAATAAAGGCGGCAGCAGTGGGGAGAATGCAGCCGAATACCAATATGGCACAAAGGAAAGCAAATTTCATTACGTTGGGAGCCTGTGCGCTGCTCGTAACCTGGATTTACACACTGCAAATTCTCCGATCTGATTACCTCCAGTGATCACGTAAAACACTGACTTTAAACTCTTTCCCTTAGTGATAAAACAGCCAGTTTGATTCACAACGACACCCTTGCAATAAAGTATACTGTAAACGTACCTGTCCGCAGCCTGGGGCACTGCACACAAATGGCCTGTCGTCTCCCATATTTTTCCACAGCTCAGCTGCATGGGACAAAAAAGGGGGGGAGTGGAAAAGAAATATATATATAAGTAAACCAGCAAAGAAAGGAAAATACCGATGTTGTAGCCATTTTCAGGAATACAGGTCACCAAACCAACAACATAAATGTTTGGATGCCTTATGCTTGAGGAGGCAGAAAAGTGGAAGATAATTCCTGGGGGTAATTTTCTTCCTATAGTGGTCAAGGAAGGGGAGATACAAAGAAACATTTCCTAGCTGCCATCTTAGTGCAAAGGTAAAATCCTACAACCTGGATCATCCACAGGCTTAACTTCATTTTTTGGCAAGTGAAAATGTAAAGGAATGGATGCTGCTGCTGAGGAAAAAAAAACCTATACAGAAATTCATCTTGCTGAGGGTTCTTTCCTTTAGGTGTGTTTACACAGCATTCTCTTATCATCTGCCGCCACGGCCACAGGGCTTTAGTCCACTGGTTCTTAACCTTTGTTACTCTGATGTTTTTGGACTGCAACTCCCAGAAGCCTTCACCATCAGCTCTGCTGACTGGGGTTTCTGGGAGTTGCAGTTCAAAAACACCTGAGTAACAAAGGTTAAGAACCACTGCTTTAGTCAATGCACAGAAATGGATGAGGCATCCCTTCCCTTGAGAGGTTCTCATATATCACCCAGTGAGAGTGATCTAACAGGAATGGTTGTTGAGTCAACCCCAGAATTAGTCCTCCCTTATCCATGGTGGGTAGCATCGCAGGCTGACAAGATAGAGAAAAGTCCCCATAGCTCTCCCATCATGAAGATGTACAGCCCTAGGCACAGGGAGGGGATATCCCTCAGAGACCAATCCTGAGATGAACATTCTAGAACACGGAAGGAGAAATAGGGACCTGAGAGGGGTAACTTAGGGAGAAGAGTCCAACAAGAGCAGGATAATGAGAGGTAGGTGAGACAGGAGGGGGAGAGGCTAAGGTAGATAAAAAAAGGAGAGATGGCTGAAGAGAAGGGGAGGAGACATCAAAGGACATTGAAGGAATGTGGAGAGACACAATGGATCAGGTGGAGGAAGAAACGGGAAATGCAGATTAGTACTAAGCACCATGGTAGTTCACTCACCACAAGACATTCTGGCTCAACTTTTCTGCGATAACCCTCTGAAGACTATCCCTTCAGAATCTCTCACCCCTAAACAGCTGAGATGGTGGTGGCGCCAATGCCAATTTCAGCATCTGCATCAACAGCTGTCTGAACATCAGGCTACTCAAAGGCAGGGTCCTGGGCAGCATATTTTCAGCTTTGGCTGACAGCAACAATGGTAGAGCCAAGGAAGGGCAAAGATAGATCTACCCATGGGATATTGGGCCTCAGAGAAGCTGTACAGACCTGCTAAGTTCTTGAAGTTGTCAGAATACCAGTTCTTGTTCTAGCATTTCTCATTTGTAAACTGTTAATCCTGGGCCTACTGGACCATTTGTCATTTGCCCATGGATGGTTTGGGGTGATGGTGTATAAATGCTCGCCACTGGGAAGTGTGATAGCCTTGCTGTGCTATTCCCAGAGTTATTTCCAACCATTTATTATTTGGCTGGACAACTCAGTGAGTTAGGCATCTGGCTGTAGAGGCAGAAGCTGGGAGTTCAATTCCCTACTGTGCCTCCAGGAAAACGAGCAACCTGTATGGCCTTGAGCAAGCTGCACAAACCCAAGGCAATAGGCATCCTTCAGCCTCAAGAGTCTATGGTAATGAGCTCTGAATGGAAGTCTTGGAACAGCGTCTAGTGTGGCTGAGAAGGCCAATTCGAGAGTGACAATCCCTTCCACACTGAAGACAAATACAATGTTTCCCTTTGCAGCTCCCTGATTTTGCTGGTCTCGGGACAGCCTCTTTGTCTTGAACTGCTCGCCAAGTGTCTCTTCAAAATGGGAGAGGCCGTGATGCACCGCCTGCCTCCAGGCTGAGTGCTCAGATGTAAAGGTTTCCCATCTGTTAAGGTCCATTCCTAAGGCCTTCAGATCCCGCTTGCAGATATCCTTGTATCGCAGCTGCGGTCTCCCTCTGGGGCACTTTCCCTACACTAATTTTCCATACAGGAGATGTTTTAGAATCCGACCATCAATTATTCTCACGACATGCCCAAGCCAACATTGATGTTGCTGTTTCAGTAATGTATACATGCTAACAATTCCAGCTCATTCCAAGACTACACTATTTGGAACTTTGTCCTGCCAGGTGATGCCAAAAATGCATCGGAAACAACACATATGGAATGTGTTCAACTTCCTCTCCTGCTGTGCACAAAGGATAAAGGACTCACTGCAGCACAGGAGTGTGCTCAGGACACAGGCTCTATAGACCTGGATCTTGGTATATGCTGTCAGCTTTTTGTTAGCCACAGTCTCTTTGTGAGTCTAGAGAACATGGTAGCTGCTTTGCCAATGTTTTTATCCAGCTCGACATCTAGAGGGAGTGTATCAGAGATCGTCCCAGGACACCCCCAGAAGAAGGGAACAGTAAACCACTTCTGCATATTCAAATTCTGAGAAGGGTAATTTTAAGCCAGAACTGACTTAACACACATTGCTGCTGCTGCTTTTATTTAGTGATCTAATATCATCCATTTTGAATGACCCTTATGTAAAAGGTGGGCAGAACCCCTAAACAGCATTTTTAATTTCCTTCAACAACATAAAAAAGAGATGTACATATTTGCATGGAAATTCCACAGACTCAGAGCCAAGGCATCGGGAAATAAATCAAATCTTTCTGATGAAGAACAGATATTTTCAGTGGGAGAGAGCAAAAAAAAGTGTAATTAATTAAAGGATTATAAGAGTGCTGCTCTATTTTACAAGGCCATAATGTACTTCCCTAGTGAAAAACTACAAGATGGATGGCAAAAGTAGTTTGTCATTGACTAGAGCCAAGGAAAACAAAGCATCAGTCCTATTATGCTGTAAGTGTAGCTATTCTTATTAATAAAAACGTTAATAAAAGAAACCCTTATCATGCAAATTCTAGAAATGATAGCTACATCTACTACTGATTTTAATAATGGGGTTTAAAAAGGTGTAATAAAGCAAATGTTCTCTCTTCAGGGACAGTGCTATATTAACATACCACAGCTGTTTATGTTGCTTACAATCATCTTTCAATTTGAGTTCAGGAGCTAGTCTGTTGGTAGCTGACAAATGTTCTTGCAGAAGCAGAATAAAGCCATTGCAGGGTAAAAATAGTTATTTAGAAGCAAAGATTCTCCTGCATGTGTTGCAGCACATAAAAATATTTTAGCACTTGCAAATTCAAGATGTAGAATGTACCAATTTGTTCTTTCTTAAATACAAGTACTGTATACCATTAATGTCTTTAGAGAGAGAGAGACTGTCAATGACATTCTATTTTTTTAAATGAGGATTTTCCATTCCTGAAGATGACTGCAATAGTTACAGTTTTATATAACATGGAGAAGGGGATCTCCAAGCCCATCCACAACTCAAAACAGAGGTGAATTCTTCTGGTGTTAATTTTAAAAAATAAACTTGGTCCTTTTTTTTGGGTCATTTTGGGGCCCGTTGCAATCCACTGCAGGTGATGGGGGTGAAAATTTGGCTTTCACTTCTGGCAAAGGTGACTACTGTATATCTGTTCCATACCATGCATGATCAAGTGTAAGTTACATAAAGAACCTTCTAAGGTGGTGTGTGAAGAATTGTTCCCTGTCTATGGCCCCTTTCAAACATGCCAGGGCCCCTGTTGAGAATGGCTGGTTTAAAGCATGCTGCTGTCTTCTTTCCCCTGCTGTGCTTCCTCTGTTTTCCCATAAAAGTATATATCCTCAGGCTTACAGCATGAATAAGCATTACCAGGCAAGTTACAAACCTCATTCATATCAGGCAAGCATAAAAGGGAAATTTTAAAAACCCCAAAAGATTAGGCATCCTTCAGTCTCGAGAGACTGTGGTAACGTGCTCTATATGGAGGACTTGGAACAGCATCTAGTGTGGCTGAGAAGGCCAGTTCGAGAGTGACAATCCCTTCCACATTGAAGGGACTCCACATTTTAAAAACTCCAAAAGAACAAATTACAAAAAGACAAAATCGTTGTGGCACCTTAAAGACTAACTGTTATATTTTAATGTAAGGTTTTAGGGATAAAATTCACCTCCTCAGACATTAGAGTGAGATAACATGGCTTTTTTTTATACATGGCATCAAAATACAGAGCCAGCACAAACCTGCTCATGAAAACCTAAAGCATAAAGCAACCCGATTAACAACTGCTTCCCATGTGAAACTCAGCTTGAACTAAGCACAGCTGTGTTGTGTGTCTCTAGTGTGAAAGAAGAATTTATGAAATGGTCTTAAGGTAAACCCTTCTGAGGCTCACCTCGAATCAATGTACATAAGTCACAAGCTTTAAGAATTGTGGGATTTACAAGAATTGTCCAATTTTTTCAAAAGGATATACATCCATCCAATCTTGTATTGTGCAACATTTTTCAAGATCATGCATGCTTCCCTAAGAGGGCACAATTTGGGAGTGGCTTCCAACATCACAAAGACAGAACACACAATCGCCAATCATTCAGCTAACTGAACTTTTATTTCTGGTAAGGTCTGAAGTGGAATTTATGTACAGGACAGGCACAGACCTGAGAAGCTCTAAAATGTGTATCATGTCTGCATGATTCCTCAGCAAAGCCGAAAAAAAGTAAACATCAGATCCAGGGCTGCTGGACGGTGGGGTCCGTGTCTGTGGGTGCATATAACAACAAAGCAGGTATGAGTAGCTGCAAGCTAAAAATCACAACAAGGCTTAAGGATTTAAAATAGAATGGCATCTGTAGCACACTGACCCCAAGCCCCTAAATACACTTCAGGCAGGCTCTTGGAAGATTTGGTTTCTTTACAGAGGAAAGAAGAGGAAAGTTTAGAAAATCCCTCCACATAGCAGAACCAGAAACAGCCAACAAACTCCAGATTAAAGGAGAGGGTCTCAAGTTTTATTCACTAGAAAAGCCACTTTTTTTA